GAACTTTTAAAAAAGCGTTTATACGCATAAATTTCTTTAAGAACATGTTTTTTCTACTTAAATTTATAATGTTCACTTAAAAAGTAATAGTAAGTCAAAAAAATTAAATGCTGGTAGCTCTTTTTCTTCCATTTCCTTGAGATATATTCTATTGTTTAATATTAAATGCTGGTAGTTGTAGCTCTTTTTCTTCCATTTCTTTGAGGTATATTCTATTGTTTAATAGTCTTTGCAATAGATAAAATAACTCCAGCACCAAGCAAAGTCCTCACTTAAAAATTGCACTCAAGAACTTGAGATTTCACAGGTCTGGAAATTTATAATAAAATTCCATGGATTGCATAATAAACTGCAATTATATTAGTATTTTCTTTTTAAAAGATAAAATTATTGAAACTAAAAACCGGTTGACGGCATCTTCTTGAAAAGTACCTTAACTAAATAGAGGGGTTGAGTTCTGCTATCGGAAGTTTTATTACTCTTTATTTTCCTTTTTTGCTTTCTGGTAACTTTCAACTTAAACAGAGGTTGTATGCTTGTTAAAAGTAAATATGTCATAAAAAAAAATAAAAAGAATAAGAAGAAACCATTGAGAACAATTAAGATTAAAACTTGATTAGAAAACAATTGTCTTTAGCACGTCACATTTTAAATAGCGCTATAGCGCTAATTAAAGCTAGATATAGCGCTAGTAGAAAATAGCGCTATAGCTCTATTTAAAATGTGACGTGCTAAAGACAATTGTTTTCTAATCAAGTTTTAATCTTAATTGTTCTCAATGGTTTCTTCTTATTCTTTTTATTTTTTTAGATATAGCGTTAAAAATATTTAAAATCTTTTTCTATTTTATAGAAAAATACTTTTTCGGTTTTTTCTATTTATATAGAAAAAGATTTTTCGGTTCAAATTATTAGAACATTCAAATAAAAACAGCATTTAGTTATTAACTTAGTTATTAACACTCCTTTCTCTAAAACATACTGGTACACTTTTGGCTGACCCCTACCCTTATACCTCCATACGCTCTCTATAGGCGGAGTTCCACTTACAGGAGATTTTCCGCGGAACGGAAAGGAAATCATCCAATCATCTCATCTAACATAAAAATTGCGCATCTAAAATTTTTTTGTTACTTGATTGGATCATAGTCATAAGAATAAATAGTCTGGAAATAAAGGCCGTTTCCATTGTTTTGCCGTTTTATGTTGAAACTCGTATCAACGACCCGCTGAAGGTGCACAGAAAGATAAACAAAACTATATTTAACATTACTCTCTTTAAGAGTTTGAATTGAAGACTGGTTTTGAGATTTAATTTATATAGTTTTTGAAAATTTTTTGTATTAATTATTTTTCTTATCTGTTAAGAAAAGATTATTTAGTTTTAAAAATCTATTTTACATAGCTAAAAAAGTTATAAATAAGATATATATATATATATAATCTATATATTATATAAATATATATATATATATATATATATATATATATATATATATATATATATATATATATATATATATATATAATCTATTTTACATAGCTGAAGTAGTTATAAATAAAATAATATATATATATATAAAAATATATATATTATATTATATATATATATATATATATATATATATATATATATATATATATATATATATATATATATATATATATATATATATATATATATACATATATTATTTATAAATAAAACTGCATATTTTTCACAACTATTAGTTTCATGCTATATATATATATATATATATATATATATATATATATATATATATATATATATATATATATATATATATATATATATATATATATATATATATTTATATATTAACATATTCACAACTACTTTAGTTTTGATTAGTAGATTTTTATACTTGCTCTGTTCTTTTAAGAACATTAAGCACTCTATTTTGTAAAATATATTTTAAAATTGTCAAAATGTAATATACTTTGATATATATTGTAATAATATATATCAAAGTAAATTGCATATTACACATAATATATATATATATATATATATATATATATATATATATATATATATATATATATATATATATATATATATATATATATATATATATTATATACTTATAAACAAGTTGCATTGGCTGAAAATTAGAGAAAGAATATATTTCATGGTTCTTCTAATAATACACAAATCTATTATTCTGGAAGCATTAAAGTCATATATATATATATATATATATATATATATATATATATATATATATATATATATATATATATATATATATATATATATATATATATATATATATATATATATATATATATATATATATATATATATATATGTATATATATATATATATAGTAGTATAATTACTATTTATAAATATTCATGAAATTATTTTTCAGAATATTTATATATGATATGATATTATATAATAAGTTATTTAATTATCTTCACTTTTTTTTTCCAGATGTTTGTAAAATGGTTTATTGTGTTGTGTCAATAGATCAAAAATCAATACTAATGTTGATTGATTTTTTGTTCTTTGACACAAAAACTTGAAATTTGGTAGAAAAATTTTGCTCTTTGACATACTGGGAAAGAAAATATTTTTTCAATGATTGGATTTTACTATTCATGACTAATAAGAAGTAATTTTTATTAACGGTGAGTAAATTTTCCAAGTTAGTGTAATATTGGTCATATAAGCATATGTATTTAAGTTTGATGTTTTTAAACATTTAACTATTATGAATATTAAGTGTTAGCTTTATTTCACTAGCTTCAAAATTCTGAAATTACTTTACTGTTTATGGTATCAGAATCATTTTAGACTGGATATGCTTTGAGTGAGATTTTTATTAAATTGCCAATTAAAAATATTAAATTAAAATATATTTTAAAAATGGTTTTTTCAAATCTTTGTAAAAAAAATTTTTGTTTGTTTAAAAAACTCTGAAAATGACAAAATATTTAGCATTTATAAATTAATATTACAAATATTTTGCTTAATATTTTTTTAGTTTAACATTGTATCTAGGAAATTTATTTCTTTAATTGCTTTTCTATATAGTCAAGTCTAACAAAATTAAAAACCTAATTGATATATTTTATTGGAAATTCTTGTGTAAACACATAAATATTTCTCTATTTCTAGATTATCAAGGGTCAAAAATCATTTAAACATTTTTTAAATTTATTGACACAACTAGATAGATATATATCAATGATTTAAATTCATTGACACAACTAGATAGATATATATCGATGGCATTATGCACAGAAGTGTTAAGTACAACATTTGGTCAAATTGAGCTAAGTACACGAAAACTGTTGTATTATTCAAAGATTATTCTGTCCGAATATGGTCAGTGTATGATAAATTGTTATGAGTCTACTAATTGACATTACGTGTCAAGTATAAAAACGAAAAAAAAAATTGTATGCACAAATGCTCAAAGTGTCCTTGCCACATTTGCATTTTTAGTTTAACACTTAACACTTCTGTGCATAATACCATCAATATATATATATATATATATATATATATATATATATATATATATATATATATATATATATATATATATATATATATATATATATATATATATATATTTATATATATTTATATATATAGTCTTGCATGGTAGTCACAAAGTTTTTCTCATAAACTGTTGTTTTAAAGAGCGCATTAATAAGCCTGACCAGAAAATGTTAAAAAACTTCATAAAATTTTTTTTTTTTAAATGATAGACTGCCTGCCCAAAACAAACCCTCAGTCGATGTAGCAGCACTCCCTTGCAAGCCAGGCTATTTGTCAGTCGATGTAGCAGCACTCCCTTGCAAGTCAGGCTATTTGTCAGTCGATGTATCAGCACTCTGTTGCAAGTCAGGCTATAAGATAGTCGATGTAGCAACACTCCCTTGTAGCAGCAGGCTATAAGATAGTTGATGTAGCAACACTTACGCATGTTTTAAAAATGTTTTTTTAATAAAACAAAAACAAAAACACCACTAGTTAAAAAAAACTTTTTACTCATTATTATTGGGGTTTTTTTAAAAAACAATAAAATTTAATGTACTTCCGCATTAATTTAATTGCTTTGACATTTCCACGACAATAAAATGCAGCTTAAGAGACAAGGTAAAAAAATTGTAGTCGAAAGAGACTTTTTTTACCATAAAAGTTTTTTCGACTACACTATAAGGATATATATATATATATATATATATATATATATATATATATATATATATATATATATATATATATATATATATATATTATATATATATATATATATATATATATAGATATATGTATATATATATATATATATATATATATATACTATATATATATATATATATATATATATATATATATATATATATATATATATATATATATATATATATATATGTATATATATATATATATATATATATATATATATATATTTATGTATTTATATATATATATTTTTTCGTTTTTTAATTTTCACAATTATTTTAAAGTCAATTTTTAGGCTGAAGAAAATTTATATCATAGACTTTTGAACTTTTTTAGTAATATTAGATAAGGTCTTATTGACATGGAACAATGTAATTTTGCATAATTTAGAATAAATCTTTTTTTTTTAACAATGCCAAGCTTGCAAGAACAAATAATAATAAAGAAAATTGTAATCAATTCACTAAAATAAATTACAGTTGTTTAAATTTAATGTAAAAGTAACAAGAAAAAAAGGAGATCGCTACTTTCGCTTTGAGATGTTTTTGTTTACTGTGCACCTTCGGAAGAATGAGAACGAGTAATTTCTGGAACAAAAACATAAACAAAGCGCTATTGTTTGCTTCCAGACTATATATTTCTTATGACTATGATTGGATGATTTTCTTTTCTTTTCCGTTCCGCGGATAGTTTCCTGTATTTTATCGTTCAAACAAAATATCGAGTTGAATTTTCGTCTAAAATAAGTTTGTCGCCGTAGTAGTATTGAAATGCAATAAGCGAGTAAAACAAGCGTGGTACGGATTTTATTTATAACAAAATTACCTGCCTGATATATCAGATATATAGATATATAGATATGATATATCATATATATACATTATCGATAATGTTTAAATAAATTTATTTACTTAATTATCATAAAAATTATGATAATGTTTATATTATTGTTATAAAAATTACCTTTATTTACTAATTTTTAAGCAGTATGAAATAGGTGACTCCTAATGCATTGAGACTTTCGTTTACATTTACCAAATAATTTGCTTCGTTTAAAAATCTTAGTCTGAAGTTTAGCGCTTAGAAAGTTTCATCAAATTTAAAATTAAGTCTAAATCGTATAATATTTGGTTTAAGAGATTTAATTATTTGGAATTTATATACTTGTATAACATAAAATATATATACAGTATATAAAGATGAATTCAGTGTTATAATTGAGATAAACAGGGTTAATAAGTTCAATTGATATAAAAACAATAATAAGTATGTGGCCGGCCTGACCCATTTGATATAAGATTATAAAACTTTTAGGAGCATACCCTTCTAAATTTATTTTAAAATTTAAAAAATATCATATTTTCATATTCTATTTAAAGGATGAATGTTTTCGGTTTAAAAAAAAAAAAAAATCTTTATCTGTTGCTATAAATTTTGAACATTCTTCAGCCAATTATGACGGTCGCAATTTCAAAGCCTTAAATCAAGTTTCAAAAAGACTTGAATGTATACTTACAAGACATGAATGTATACTTTCAAAATTCTATTTAAGAGTCAAAGTGCACGCTAAAATTTATTCCAAGACATGTTCTAAAATATGTTACTTTAAAATAGTTTTTTAAATTAACTAGTATTTTAAGTTCCAACTAAATGTACATGCATATTTATATGTATATTTAGATGTATCTATTTATTTTACATGTATTTTTAGATGTATTTGATATTAACCTGAAAAGTTGTCTGACTTTTTCTGTGGTTATTTTATGTGAGAGGCAACAAGAATTTAAAATATTATTAAAAGTAACTTTTTCAGACATACACATGAACATGCATATACAAAAAAAATATATGTGCATAAGTACATACAAAAATATATATGTATGTATACATGTATGTTTGTATATGTGTATGTATGTATGTATGTATGTATGTATGTATGTATGTATGTATGTATGTATGTATGTATGTATGTATGTATGTATGTATGTATGTATGTATGTATGTATGTATGTATGTATGTATGTATCATATATAATATATGTATGCATGTATGTATGCATGTATGTATGCATGTATGTTTGTATCTATGTATGTATCTATGAATATATCTATGCTTAAAATGTATACATTTTTTGATATATATTTTATTTAATTTTTTTTCACAGAATAAAAAATGAAAAATAATGGAAGATCTTGATTCAACACAACTTATTTATTCTGAAAAAGAACCTTCTGCTGATTCTCATGATATTAGAACAAAGGTAATTGTTAAAGATACTCTTTAATTCTTTTAGTTTAATTTAAAAATTTAGATTTTTTTCGAAATGGTATTTAATATTAAATTATTTATTATTTAGTTATATTAACATTTATTTACAATGAATGATAAAATATAAGCAGAAAATATATAATAATTTATATATGATATATATGTTTTAACATTTGATCGTGTCTTTATAAAACTTTTATTTGTGCATTAGTTATGATTTTAAAACAAAAGGTACATTTCTTAAATGAATGAATTGTTCATTCTCATTTTTTAAATTCTTTATATTTATTTTTTAAATTGCTTTAGAATTTTATTGTATTATTACCTCATTTTCAGCTTTTTAACTACAGCCTGACATGTTTCACTGAAATTTTTTGCTACATATCTATGACATATACCTATAGCAAGCATTTACTTTAAAAAGATGTCATCAATATTTTGAGATTTGTGTCTTCATTTTTTGAATGTTTTAAAGTTCCAGTTTTGTTCTTCAAATAATATGCAGAGTTTTCAAGATCACAACGCATGCAACATGTGTTAAAAATTAATTTATTTAGTATCATTTTTTTTTCTTTATCACACAAATATTAACTTGTTTTATAAAATCAAGATTATGTGCAACAAATCATCTTAAACAGTTGACTTTATTTCATAACTTTCATCCTTCTATTTTTGTAGGAGAGCACTGTAAAAATCTAAATTTTAATTACATTAGACGATGCGCTGTCTTACGTCAAATGGAGGACATTGGTCAACTTACTAATATACTGCCAATTGCTTATCTCAATTTTGCTTATAACCTTTGACTCTGTACCTTATAGATATTTAATTTTGAAACTCAAAGTGTATTGTACACTTGTAAAGCTTTTATATAAATAAATGGTTCAAACTTCAAAGATTCAAAACAAAGTTATATTGTCTCTCATGGAAAAATGTTTTGAGTAGTGTACCTCATGGATCTATGCTTGGACCATTATTATTTTTTATATTTGGTAATGAATCGCTTTATTGTCTTCCAATTGTAACAAAACTTTATGCTGATGATACAAATATTTTATCAACAGTTAAAAAAAATAAAAAAGTTAAAAAGTTTCAAGCTGATTCGGATAAAGCTGTCTTTAAAATAAATGTTATTTCAATAATGAAATAACATTTATTTTAAGAATAAAATTTATAGAATAAAATTTGTGATGAAAAGTTTAAAGAATAAAATTTGTGATGAATTTATCAAGTGAATAGTTTAATGGTTTAATTATTTTTTGTAAACAATCCAGATTTTCTTTTTTCTTCACAGGATTTTTGCGAAGTGAATGATTAACCTTTCTTATATACTTTTGTGTAGCTTGGATATTTGCTAATGTAAAGTGATTTTATTTCAAGAAAGAATCCATGTTTTTTTGTAGTTTGTAGTAAAAATGTTACATCATGGTTTTGTAGTACAAAACCATGATGTAATATTTTTATGCAAGCATTATATATTAAATGTCCATTATTTTTACAAAACCAAGACACAACTTTTTTATGTAACAAAAAGTAAAAATACAATGTGTGGAAACATGCGGTACTTTGTAAATAAATAATTGTAACAAAAGTTTTTGATTAAAATTTTATATTTATATATTATATATTTATATATATAAATTTTGTTTTAAATAAGAATATACTAGGAGCTTAGACTCCTCCAGTATTAAATCTTTAATCTAGCACAAAGTTATATACAAAAATCCGCACGCATATTTCATTAATTTGACTAATATTGTTTGCACAAACCAACACTTAAAATCAGGGATGTGAGTCCAGAGTCCCTATTTTTACCCAAAGTCCCAGGCTTCATAAAAATTATTGGGATTCCAGGATTTTTTTTTATAATTTCATATTGGGATTTGAATATTTCCTAACTAACCCTTATTAACTCTTATAAGTTATTTTAGGTTAGGTTTGTCTACGTCCCGGTTTTTTCCTAAGAAAATGCAATGAAAGTTTTAATTTTAGTTTAGCGCTTCACTTTCCTACTTCAAAACCAGGACAACTTTACTTTAGGCACAAATATTTACTCACTTGAACCTCTGCATTTGTGGTGCAGGGGTTAAAGTTCTGACTCAAAAGCCAGAAGTAAAAATTTCGATGCTTGTGTTGATGCAAAGTAAAAGAAAGTATTTTTTAACGCTGTTCCTAATGATATTGTTTAAACTAACAGATATGGTTTTAATGATAAAATAATTTTGAAATTTTTTTTAAACATAGTTAGAAATTATCATTTTATAAGTATAGCAATTGAAGTCTATTGTATGTGTCTGAGCATGCCATCATAATAAAATTTGTATTATTTTTTTGAGTCGCTATCATTATATTGAATCGCTATCATTATATCATTAAAATTAAATAAAAACATATTACCAGGCCTTGTTAAGAAGCATCATGCTATTTGAATTTTATGTACAAAATGGCGATTTCACCTACGTGTTAAGCAGTTTACATTACGCAAAAACTTTTTTAATTAGTTTATTTAAACAGTCTTTTAAAGCAGTTTATGGGGAACACATTAAGCTAATTATTTGTTGTAAAAACATTTGTGGAATATTTTTTTATTAGATAAAAAACAGATTGATAAATAAACTAAATATAAAAAAAAATTTTGTTTTTTAAAAAAAATTTATTTCTAATTCATTTTATTAAATTTAAATTAAATTTGTTATTAAATATTATATACAATATATATATATATATATATATATATATATATATATATATATATATATATATATATATATATATATATATATATATATATAATATTTAATAACAAATTTAATTAAGTTTAAATTAAATTTGTTATTAAATATTATATATAATATATATAATATTTAATAACAAATTTAATTTAAATTTAATAAAATAAATTAATAAGTTTTTTTTAAAAAACAAATAATTTCTAATTTATTTTATTAAATTTAAATTAAATTTGTTATTAAATATTATATATAATATATATAATATTTAATAACAAATTTAATTTAAATTTAATTAAATTTGTTATTAAATATTATATATATATATATATATATATATATATATATATATATATATATATATATATATATATATATATATATATATATATATATATATATATATATATATATATATATATATATTGTATAAATATAATATATTTATTTTAAAAAGATATATTAATACATATAAATTTATTTAATCGAATTTAATTCAAATTATTTTAAAAATTTCATGTTATTAAACATGAAAATTCATATTTTATTTTTTATTAAATTAGACATTAATTATTAAATATTTAGAGAAGCATAAGATTTTTAAATATTAACATTATTAAAAGAATTTTTTTAGGACTTAAAAAATAAAAATCGAGCACCAATTTTAATATAAAAAGCAACATCTTGTATCCAACTGAATAAATTTTTAAATTTGATTTCTCGCCAAAATATTAATCCATCAGCAAAAGAATAATAGGTAGCTATTGGTTTTTTTTCCTTTAGTAGAATTAAGTAAAACATAGAGTCAAGTAAAAATTAAAATGTGTCAACATTAAAACTGCCTTTTTTTTGTAAAAACTAATAAACACAGTTTCAGATAGTACTAAAAAAATCAAGATCTATAAAAGAACATAAACCAGGGCTTGAAATTCTTCTGACAGCACTTTTTTTATGATAAAGAACAAATACCAGGTCTTAAATCATATTAACAGACATTTTAACAGACATAAGTTAATTTTTGACAATCATAATTTCAAAATATGCTTATGAATGACACTCAGACTTTTTTGAATACAATAAGTTTCAAAGCTTGTAAAATCTTTCAAAGGTCAGCACAAGAGTCCTGTACTTAGGCGACGTCAGGACGGCAAAAAATCTATCTGGAATTGTTGCTTTCTGTTGTAAAAGGGGTAATGATTATTTGATTATAGAAACATTGCTTTATAAGAGCATAGCTTAAATAATATTAATTTAATTAATATTAATAATAATAAGATATTAATGATGCAATATCACCTCAATCTTTTCATAGAGCCCCTTTTTTATAGAATGTTCTAAATATTATCAGCAAGTTTTACACCAAATTAAAGTTTTATTTATTCTTACTGAGGAATAATAAAAATAAAAATAAACCCACAAAAAAAAAATGTGTGTATGTATGATGTATGTATGTACGTGTGCATATTTTTATAATATATATGATTTATTTTGTATATGTTTATATTTGTTAATAATGGTTTGTATATATATATAGGCTATGGTTGATAGGTTTAAACCATGGTTTAAACCATTAAAAAAAAAAAATTGGTTTAAACCAAATTAAAATTAGATTTTAAAAATGGAGGTAAAACAAGTTAAAACAATAACAAATTTGACATAATATCGAATTACGATATTATGCATATCGTAATGTATATTACGATATACATTACGATAAAAAACAGATACGCAAAATTAAATTTACATAAAAAATACATACTTTTTAAATAAAAAATAAGAATATACTAATAAAATCTATAATTTATAATAAACTTTTAAAATTTTGACAATTTAATTAATATATATTTAAAACATTTTTGTAAACAAATAATATATATTCTTAAAACAATTTACTATAGAAATCTCAAAACGTAACAAATCGTGAATAATACAATTTCTAAAACATTTCAATAGAATACTCTAGAACTTTTTTTTGCTTAGTCAGCGTATTTTTTGAACCAATAGAATTATTTTGTTCGTTAATTTGGCGGGTTTTTAGTGTTGGCGAATATTCTTTTTATTCTTTCATACCAAGATGTTTTAAGAACATTAAAGTTTTTGTATGTTCCATGTATGTCCGTTAAACAAAAATTTTTTGTTTCGTACATAAACCTAAATGTTCTCAAAACCACTAAAAAACCTGGCCAGTTTTTTGCAACTAAATATAATTTTCGTGTTCAGTATTCGAGAGCAATCGCTCCTGCTTACCAACCAAGTCTGGTCTCAAAAGAAGCATATTTTCATAGAGATTTTTAAAATGTTATTCGTTTGTAATAAAATTAAAAAAATAAGTTCTTTTTGTTTTGTTGCTGAGAAACATTTTGTTTAAATTTTTTTAAGAGTCTTTAGCATTTTTTCACAAATTTTTTTTTTGTTGACCTGTGTTATTAGTAACATTTTTTTTATATTGCAAAAATATTTTTTTTTGTTGACCTGTGTTATTAGTAACATTTTTTTTATATTGCAAAAATAAAAGTTTTTTTATTATTTTCATAAACTTTGATTGCTATTAAAAACTTTTATGTAGGGAAAATGGGGGTATAGTTGCATATGGAGGCACAATTGTTTTTTAGTATTTTCCTTTAAAAAGAAATAGTTTTGTTTTGAGATGTTGGAAATAAGATTTCATATTTTTATAATTTAATTTTTAAAAATGAGTTTTTGATTAAAATATAAATCTAAGAAGATAAACCAATATCTTGTTATATTTATGCATATCTGATAATTATTATATTATTATATATTGTAGGTATATAGTTATGCATTTCTTAAGTTAAAAAAAAATGTATCATGGAAAGTGTTTCTTCAAGGAATTTTGTGAGGTGCGGTTGTGCCTCACAATGGGTGCAAAACCGTTTTTTTAATAATAAAATTTTCAAAAACCATTTTATTCTTTTACTAATTGCAGCAATTCAAAGCTTAATAATGTGGTTAATGAAATAAACCGTTAAAAAGACACATTTCACTTTTATTTTCATATAACATCAATCCAAACATTATGGGGGCCGTTATGCCCCCACTTCCCCTATATATTTTATGTTCTTCTAAAAATTTTATATTCAGATTTTATATTTGAATGTGCATAGTCGTGAAATTCTGTTGCTGTACAGTTAAAAACATTGAAGTATAAAATTTGACTGTTTTTGCAACGTTTATTTAAACTCATGTAAGTATTACTTTTACTTTTTTGGTTCTATAAACATATTTTTTGGTCATTTCTTATCTTTTGGATATACACAAGCGTGTTTTAGACACATTACACAGAAACCTTTTTTTTTGTCATAATGATGGGTTCCTAAAATGAGGTGTTCTGATTTCGGAACAGTAGGCACATACAGGGTGGATAAAGCATTTATGTATGCAGTGGTGTACACTGGATTTTTAGATGTTTGAGTTTTGACACTTACACACATTTTGCAAACTACAAACTTTTGTATGTTCATACTTATGTCAAATGAAAATGTTTTGCAAAAAGTTGTGGTGATTGGAGCTTGGGGACAAAAAAACCCCAATTTTCGGGCCCACCCAGCCCTTAACGTGGGAGCAAAAAATTGATAAAATAATTTCTTTAGTATTTTTATCTAAGTTTATATTCATCAACGAATTTCAAATTTCATGCAATAACCTCTTAGTTTTTAGTTTTTATGACCCTACAAAGTTTACAGCTCCCTCAAATTGAGGGGGGTTAAAACTTTATATGGTCATAATTTTCAAAAAATAAGAAATTATTCAAGTGAAACCTATTTGATTTGGTTTCAAATTTTGGTGTGGTGCAACACCACTAGGATACATTTGTTGGTTCCAACCATATCAGGGTATGAATCCAAATACACAATTTAAAGAATATGGTGTCGGTGCATCGGTGGAACTTCAATTTGTTGAGGCACTAACAAAGGAGCATCCTGGAGAATATCATTTCATATTTGATATTTTTTTACCAGCATTTCTTTACTTGATAAGCTCACATCAATGGGCCATCATGTGACAGGAACTGTGAGAAAAGATCGAATTGATAAGCCTCCACTTGATTCAGATGAAATTATGAAGAAAAAAGAAAGAGGTGCATTTGACTACATAAGTGATGATAAAGGCAATATTATTTGCAAATGGCATGACAATAGTGTTGTCACTGTTGCTTCATTAGCAGCTGGAATCAATCCTATTGGCCTAGTGAATCATTATTCACTAAAAGAAAAAAAGAGAATTCAGATTCAACAGCCTCACTTGATAAAAATATACAACCAATATATGGGAGGATTCGACAGAGCTGATGAAAATATAGGGCAATATCGAGCATCCATATGTGGAAAAAAATGGTACTCAAGCCCTCTGTTATTCTGTTTTGAAGTAATTTTACAAAATGCTTGCCAACTACACAGAACAATAGAAAAAAAGCATTTAGATCTTCTGGAATTTCGTCGACATATAGCATCCAATTATCTGGAAACCTATGGTCAATCTGAAAGGGCAACATTAATTCAAAATATGATGGTCTGAATCATAATATAGTGAATCAAAATAAACAAACATGCTGTCGACAATGCCATAAAAACACAACATTCAAATATGAAAAGTGTAATGCTGCCTTGCATATCAAATGTTCAACCAAATATAATACATACTTATAATAAGTAAATATTTTTTTGTGATTGTATTTTTTTGTAATTTTATATTTGTAATTATATTTATGGTAATAAATATAACAAGATTTTTTTAGTATCTAAAAGTGACCAAATAATTATGAAAAAAGGTACATATATATGTATATTCTTCTAATGTCATGAGAATTTAGTCCATAAATCTAGTGTTCCAATTTCGGAACACCTTGTATCAAGAAAAAATTAAAAAAAATTTACTTAAAACAATTTTGCGATCACGAAAAAATTCACTAAAAAGAACCTTCGGTCTAAATGGGTTAAAGCTAATATCTTCTTTTAAAATTTATTTAGATTTTTAATCTGTAAATAGTAATATAATGCTTTTCCATAAATTTATTTTTATTATTTATAAATAATAAGGGTTGCCAGCATCTTGAACATCCTGCTAAAGTCAGGAAATTAAATAAATCATGAAAAACTCAAAGAATTTCTATTGATTTAGTTGCAAATTATTTTATTTTCAAAGTTATTTTTTGAATTGACAATTAAAATAAGATTGCAAAAAATATATTTTTAAGTCTCATAATAACATCATTATTTAAAAGTCAATGAAAGTACTTTTGAAGCAAGTTAATGTTTTTGGGTAAAAGTAAAGGGCTATGTGAGATTTTGTTGTTGCTTTGTATATTAAAGTTTTATCGAAAATTCATGGAATATGCTGGCCATATGAAATTTGCTGGCCACCCTTATTATATACATTAATCAACTACACTCATATTAAAATGATCAAAGGCATTCATTTTCAATATGGTATTATCTAACTAAGATAAATCTGAAAAAAAGTTATCTTGTTCATCTGATGTTAGATTTTGAAAAATCTTGGCTTTGTATGAAATATGTTTACTTAGTTTAAGTCAAACTTATTTTTCAAGTTCAATATTTCAAGTTCATATTTCATAGTACTGTATTAATTGAAAGTAAAAAATTTAAAATTTTGCTTTATTAATATTTTGTTGAAAATATTGAGAAATAGTAGACTTATTATTAGGTGGTTTAGTGTCATAATTTATTTTCTCAGTATATTTGTCAATCTCTATATCATAGATGATAATATTGATAAGGATCCTCATTTATATATTTAAACATACTTTTCTCTTCTCCTTTGTGGATCAAACTAGAAGTTGGTGCTGCCTCAGTGCTATGAAATGTTATGGATTGCTTTATTCCAGTCTCTACGTCATGGATTAGTTTTAAACCAGTCTCTATGTCTTCTTCTTTTAAAAGCTGATTTTCCAAAAAAAAATTTAATAAATTTTAAATCCACATTAGCCTTTACATCTTTTTGAGTAACTAATGACACAAAAACTGGTTGAAATAAATTTAATTCTTGTTAAAAAAATCAATAAGTGAATAAATTTCCCAACAAAGCATACAAACATCTCAATGTTTTGTGGTGGAAAATTTCCAAGTATTTGTTTTTTCTGCCTACAAGTGTGTGCGCACAGGTATTTTTGAAAATCATAATGTAAATATTTGCAAGTCATCTATAGAATGTTAAATATATTAAATATTTATGAATTATGATTAAAATATTGATTACAAATATTGATGAATTAAAATAGAATAGTATTTAAGAATAAATAAAAAACAGTTATGCAATTATTAAAAAAAAAAAGGTTGTGCAATTCACAATATCCACAAAACTAACTTAAAATCTAAATCTAATTCTAAAATCTAAAATGTTTAGTTACTTAGAATGCTACAATTAAGATTTTTGTTTCAAAAATTAAGATTTTTTTTTTTTAAGTCCTTATTTTTTTTATGGCTATGGCAAAGTAAATAATAACAAAAGCAGTGATAGGCTCATCTAAAAAAGATTTTTTGAGCTAAGCGAGTTGAATAAAAAAATGTTATTTGCAAATTAGATAAAAAAATGTTATTTGCGAGTTAGATAAAAAAATGTTTTTTTCTCTCTAGTTCTACATTTTTTTGTGTGCGTGTTTTTTTTTTCAACTGTAAAGCATTTTTGCTTACAAAAATTTAAATAAATAAAAAAATAAAAAAAAAAATTAATAAATAGAATATATTTATATCAAGTTTATATTTAAAATAAGCAATTTTGTAGAAAAATAATTTGTAAAATAATTTTATAGTATTAGTTTATCTTCAAAGATTTTATATAAATATTTTAACAAACTTCAGGTTGGGCAACTGGAGATTCTTTCTGAAAAAAAAGAAGTTTTCCCTCTTTATGAAGGTCAGTTTTTTTAAATAATTTTATTTTTTTAATGTTTAAATTTTTCATTTAAGTAACCATGGTGTAGGAGTTAGACTATTGACCTACAAATCAAGAGATAAATATCATATCAAGTAACCTTCATAAGGAAGGCAAGGTGAACTTTCTTGTTAAATGTTTTTCTTTTGTGCTGTTTGTTTACAGAGAGAGCTATAATTATGAATTAAAAAAAACTTCAAGTTAGTAAGCGTTTATCTTACATAAACGCTCTCAAGCGTTTATCACATAAACGCTCATAAATAAAAAATTTACAGTTGGTAAGTATTTTTAAATAAAAGCTCATGAGTAAAAAATTTACAACCACAGGCTTATGCAGAAATGGCGTGCAATTGCACCTTGTAATTGACCACGCTTATAATAATTTTTTTTACAATTTGACCATGGCGATTTTGATGTTTTAACAATTTAAATGCTATCAAAAAAAATTGTTACATTATAAATTACTTTTAATTCTTGATCTTTTTATGTGAAGGTTTGAAATAAAATAAAAAAGTAAATATAGTGATTGTTTAAAATAAACGTATTTTATTTAAATTAGCAAATGTTATATTTAAATTTTTCTTATGTAGGCATGTTTTATGATAAATTTAAATATAATAATTTGGTTGCCCTGTTTTTTTTATAGTATAAAAAATATAATCAAATCTAGGATTACCAGTTTTACTTTGCTTTTAGTTTGGTTGCCCTGTTTTTAAGTGAGTATAATTAAATCTAGGATTATCAGTTTTACTTGCAAAATTTATTATTCTACTTTCAGGATACATATTTATACAGGCTTGGTCGGGAAGCTGGAGCGATCGCTCTCGAATACTGACCACGGAAATTATATTTAGTTGCAAAAAACTGGCCAGGTTTTTTAGTCGTTTTGAGAACATTTAAGTTAATGTACGAAACAAAAAATTTTTGTTTTACGGACATACATGGAAACATAATAAACTTAAATGTTCTCAAAATATCTTTGTGCGAAAAAATAAAAAGAATATTTGCGAACACTAAAAACCCGACAAATTAACGAAGAAACTAATTCTATTGGTTCAAAAAATACGCAGACTTAGCGAAATTAAGAAGAGTAATCTGTTGAAATGTTTTTAGAAACGATTTGTTACGTTTTGAGATTTCTAGCAACATTTTTTTTAAGAATAAATATATTATTTGTTTACAAAAATAAAAGTTTTAAATATATATAAAATTGTCAAAATGTTAAAAGTTTATTATAAATTATAGGTTTTATTAGTATATTCTTATTTTTTATTTAAAAAGTATGTATTCTTTATGTAAATTTAATTTTGTTTATCTGTTTTTTATCGTAATGTATCTTTTAAAGCAATTTTTACGATTTAAACAAAGACTTACACAAATAATTGCGTTTTCAATGAAGTTATAATCGTTATAGTTAATAAAACTAATTACGTAACAAACATATAAGAAGTTTCTAGTTACTTACCACAAACAACGCGTACAAAGTAACTCGCAGATGAACAAGCACCGCGCGTGAGGTCACAACAAAACACAAATAGCAAATAATTAGATATAAAGAAAAGTTACTAGATAATGGTTTACTAACTCTAATTATTTTCGCTTAAGTTGCCATTCTAAAAACTCGTTATACTTTTTTCTGCTTTAAATACTAATTAAAATTAAAAAGCCCACTCACTAAACATCACCAGAGATATTGTGAAGCAATTTCGCTTCCTCGTCATGAAGTATTTTTAACCTTAAGTTGATTTCTATATTGTTAATTTAATTTCTATAGTAATTCAATGATTTAATTATTTCATTTGTTTATCTTACTAAGAAGAAATGCTTCAAATATGTTAAACTTTTCAAACTACGTGAAACATAAAATAGGTATTGAAAAAATTAACTTTATTATTTATAAAATTGTTTCGCTAAAATTAAACTAAAGCTTGCATACTTTGTTAAATAAAGAATATTTGTTTCCTCTTTAAACAATCGTAATTTACTTTATATAAAGAACATCGCTTAATTTTATTAAAAAAATTATAAAAGAGCGATATTTTGAAAATATTAGTTTTAAACATAATTTATTTAGCTTTTTCGCATTTAAAGATATTTTATTTACCTAATTTTTTTTTTTTTTTTGTAATTGTCTCTCATCGGTCCAATTAATCTTGAGCGCTTTTTTTTTTTTTTTGCTTTTTAAAATGTTCTTAAAGCGACTAAAAAATCTGGCCGACTTTTCCCAACTAAATATTATTTACATGGTCAGCAATCGAGAGCGATCGCTCCCGCTTCCCGACCAAGCCTGTTTATAAAATAAACATAAATCTATAAATTATTTTGAGTAAATAAATCTATAAATTATTTTGAAAATGTTTCTTTGTTGGAAAGTTATTATGAATTTATTTTTTTTGTTAATAATTGATGTTTTACTGATAATGTAACCATCTGTAAATGTAGCCATTTACTTCACCTGTAGCAAGTGAAATTAAAAACAGAAAATGAAATTGTAAGAAAACTGCAAATAATAAAAATATTACTTTCCAATCACATTAATTATAACTCATGGATGGCATAAGTTATGAGTCATAACTTATGCCTCATGTTTATGTCCCTGAAACAGCAGGTTTGCCATATATTTGCCAGAAGTTTGTTTTTCATAGTTGTTATATAAAGATTGTACCATCTAGTTTAATATCGTTTAGTTATTATCAAATATCTAATACTAAACTTTCTTACTTCATTGTAGTTTAATTTATTATTCGATTACCAAAAAATGAATTATAGAATTTAATTTGAAATTAGAGACATTATATAAAGTATAAAGACAAATTAAAGTTAAAGATTTTTTTCTCTATAGGTCCAAATACTATTGGTAGGGACAAGGCAGCCAACATCTCTATTAACCACCAGGTATTTTTTTTTACTTACAGTTTGCATTTAAATACAGTTTAGTTGAGAATAATGAAAAACAAACAGAAAACAATTTTTTAAAAGTAATTTGTTAAAAAGTTAAATTTTATTAGCTGTTTTTGATCTTATTAAAATGGCTTGTGGGAAGTTTTCTAGATTTTAGCTTAATTTTGATATGACTTTTTTTATCTAACTTAATTTAAGCCCTATTGGATAAATTCCTTATTTTGATATTGACATTGTATGCAAGTTGATCCATAACTTTTAAATTGAAGAAACTGTCATGCAAACAACACAAAGATGTGCTACCATTTATGGACATAGTTTAAGAGATGGTTTTGAACTGTTTTAAATATTCAAGCAGGTTGTTGCCAAAAGCAACTTTTACCCCAAAACAATCCAAAAAATAAAATAAAGATAATGATTTTTTATTTTTCATATTATATATATGTTCATGTACAATCTGCTCTAACAAAAATATTAATCATTGTATGTATATTTTTTTATAAAGAAAGCAATTATGTTATTAGTTATCCATTTTTTTCAATTAGTTCAATATTTCGATGTCTAAGAATTTATAATGATATTTTTTCACACTGGTGTAAAATAAAAAATAATTTAAAAAAAATGATTTCAATTGAAAATGTTTGAAAAAAAGTTATTTAATAGAAAATGTAAAAACATTTTAATGCATGCTCTTCATCCTCAAAAAAAATCATTTATTTTAATGTGTGCTCTTCATCCTCCAAAAAAATCATTCGTTTTTATGTGTGCTCTTCATCCTTCAAAAAAATCATTCATTTTTATGTGTACTCTTCATCCTCCAAAAAAATCATTTATTATAATGTGTGCTCAAATTTTTTTTCTTATGTATTATGCAAAATCATTACTCTAAAGTTCTTAAATATTTTTTTTATTTCAACAATTTATTTCAAAACATTTTTGTTAAAATATTTTTTTAATTTGATTTAAAACATAAATACCATTAGTTTAATTGAGGGTATCAGTGGAAGAAACTTGTAAACCTTAGATACTGTCTGCTTTAACCTTAATGATGTTATTACTGAAACTATCAGATGGTTATAATATTTGATTGCATATTTTTTTTATTTTTCAAAGTTTTTTTTTTTTCTAGTTTCACAATATTTATCATTTAGACTTTGTCAAAGATTCATGCATGCATACATGTAAATGATGGAAATTGTTCTATCCAAGACAATCAAAGTCAAAATAAAACATATATTGGAAAGGTATTTGCAATAAATATTATATTGAAAAGGTAATTACAGTTTAACATATATTAAAAAGGTATTTACAGTAAAAATATAAAAAAACGTTACTTACAGTAAAACATATTGGAGTGGTATTTTCAATAAAACATGTATTGAAAATGTATTTGCAAGTCTAAAAATTTAGTTTCATTTATAAGACTGTCAATTCAAAAAAAAACAAGTTTTCCTTGAAATTAAATTTTTTATTAACAATAAATATTTAAAAAAATATAACCTCTTTTTATCGGCTGAATAAGTAAAGCTTTTACATGTAGCTCCTGTTTGTTTATTTTTTTAAATAAAAAAAGTCATGTTATTAAAATTATTAAATAATGCATATAAAGTGTTTGATACATACATACATACATACATACATACATACATACATACATACATACATACATACATACATACATACATACATACATACATACATACATACATACATACATACATACATGCATTCATACATGCATACATACATACATACATACATACATACATACATACATACATACATACATACATACATACATACATACATACATACGTGCATACATACATACATACATACATACATACATACATACATACATACATACATACATACATACATACATATTAGGGTGATTCATATTTGATGAATTTTTGAAAATAAAGTTAGTCCTACCTGGAATGGTTGACCACCAATATAAAAAAAATTTTAAGCCAAAAAATTTAATGTCATGTGACTTTAGAGGTCCCTGGCAGTCAAATTTGTGTACAAAAACACATCAATCTTCAGAGGTCTGGTGGGGATCTTTAAAATCAACTCAGAAAGCCAACTTTTCTTTTATATGGTATATTTTGGGTTATTTATATAGGGTAGAACCAAAATAAAATATAGTGGTATTTATTCCACATCATGTGGAGAAAGTAACGAAAAAAATAAGTTTTTACATAAAATGACGCCTACTATGTACAACTGATGCTGGTTTATTCTTCATATTTAGACCAAATTTTGAAAATTAATACTAGAACTAAGCATTTTTAATGTTTATATAGAAGGGGCATGTCAATAGCTACCTGCCACCCCCTCCTCGTCTTATTTTTTGAAGATATTTTCTTTATCCCTTCCTGTTTGGAAGGGGGCGCCCCCAAAATTATCAAAATTTCATTATAAATAATATTATTTATAATTACTTTGTTTTCTTTAGAAAAAAATAGAATGTAAATATTAAATCATGATAACATTTTGATTCCTCAATATTTTGGAATATTTATTCGTTTCCGTGGTAATTTTATAAACTAACAAATTGTCGTATTTGCGGAAGACATATTGTCATAATTTTAGATTCTGTTCTGGGGTGTGTGTATCTGGTTATCCATAAAATTCTATAAAAGGTATACTATCTGCGGTTATATGCAAAGTTATTATTGTAAAATACATGTGATTTGATCAAATAATGAATATCAATTGTTTTCTTTAATCAAATTACTGTTTAGTAACTAAGATGCCAAGATCAACAAGATTAAAACATGGGCATATCTTTTTGAAGAAGAGGATCTTAAAGAAATCCTACCAGAAATAATATTTTCAACAAGTGACATTATTCTCTACTTTCAGTTTAGAAAATCTGAAGAATAAATAACTCCGACAAAAAAGCTAATTGCTTGTATGATTGGTTATCAAACAACAAAGTGTTATGGTCTTGGTAGCTGTCCTAAAAACTGCATTATGTTTGCAGTTAAGAAACCTTGGATAGATGGAGAATACAAGGATGGGATACTCACTGATCCATTTCAGGCCTTGTTTTAAAGCGTTACGTTACGCGATTTACGTACGCCTTAAGCGTACGCACGCGTAAAGCTGTTTTGGTTAAGCTACTTTTTATCATTTTTTAACTTCTAAATTAGCGGTAACATAAAAGAAGTAATTAATTTTCAAAAAAACCACATTAACTTTTAAATAACGATATGTAAAGGTATTTATTAAAAAAAAGACTTTACTTTAAAATTAATTGTTGTAACTTTTCATCGCGATATATCTTTCCTTTTTATAGCAATTAATTTGACGCTAAACTTTTTATCCAAATATTTAGCAACATGAAAAATTGTTTGTCAATCCTTAACTACAAATTTTTTGCAATGTTTTTAATAAAAAGTAGTAAAGTTTTTAGTAAAAAACTTTAAAAAAATCTATATTCCATATTTATTAATACAGAATATAAAAGTTTTTTGTAATATAGATTTTTTATAAATTTTTTACTGAATTTATAATAAAAAACATTTGCAAAAAAATTTGTAATTAAGAATTGACATTTTTTTTAAATAAAATCTCAAAAAATGTCTTAATATTTTTGTTATCATGATAACAAAAATATCAAGACATTTTTTCGAGATGTTAAAAACAATGTCTTAGCTTTTCTTATTATTTTAATAGTATATAGCTTATAGTTAGTTTAATAGTATATAGCTTTTCTTATTAGTTTATTAGTATATAGTTTAAGTTATGCGGGGGGAGGGGGTCGGCACAGAAAAAAAAATTACCTGTTACTCGCAATATTTGAATGAAGACAATTTGTTAAAATTCTTCTGCGTGCGATTCAATAAGTTTTTTTTGTCATAAATCAAGTTATAATATAAGGTAAAGAAATCATGAGTAGACTACAACATCCGCTGATGACACTAATATTACGTTGAATATATTTATATAACGGAGGTTTTATTATGCACGCGCACATTACAGGTTCCGTTAAATAAATACTAAGGCACGTTTTAGTTTAATGACAGTCTCCATTTTTTACTAATGAATATGTATTTTTCTTTATAAAACAAAACAAACTAGTATATAAAAACCTTGTATATTTCTATTATCTCTAAATTATTTAAAGTTCGAATATGGATTGTATTTTGAAGGACAAAAGATTTACTTTAAAAACTTTTAAATCTTGGGACTTTGCCGATGCGATGATCACAGAAAAAGAGAAGACTTACGTTATTAAAATCAAATGTTAGTTATGTGATCTTCATCAAAATAAAATATTATCCAAAAACAATAGTGCCGTAAGGGCAACTGCCCAACGGTTTATAAATAATACAAGTCATGTTAAAATATTTTAACATGTTACTATATTTTAATTAAGTTGATATATAATTAAAAATAAAAATATAGTTCAATAAATAAATTAAATTTATTCTTAACAAAGATTACCTCATATTTATTCTTTTTTTATTTTATTAAGTTAAATTGCTTACAAACGAAAAAAAAAAAAAGAGTTTTGTAATTATACGTAGAATGAAAATACTTTTGAGTTTGTTTATAAGTTAAGGAACTTAATTTTTAATAAACAAATTTTTACGAACGTTTATTATAAACAGATACGATTCAAATTGTTAAATCCTTCGGGTCGGAGCTACGTCACAAATATCGGAAAATAAGTCTACCATTATGGATTAGGGAAAACAAATAATTTTATCAAGTCGGGAATTTTGAGGAATTATTCATATACATGAATAATCCTCAAAGTTGCTGTGTTTTCTTGTTTCAAATAATAATATTTCACAGAGTTAAATTTTTTAGATACTTCTATATGAAGGTATTAGAAGTTAAAGGTAATAAATCGTGCGCATGTTGACAAATATGGAGTAGTTTAACTAATATCTTCATATGGAACATACTTCTTTAGTATGTAAAATTTCAACTCTGTAAATTGTTATTGTTACTGTTATTATTGTTATTATTAGTATACAGAAAATATTATACTTTGTGATAATTTTGATTTGATAATTACTAGTTATCAAATCAAATTTATAGTCTCCCAAAATAATCATTATATCTGTTCACAACAATATTTTCTGGTGGGTTTTAGTTTTAGTAATTTATCAAAATAGTAAATAAGGAATTTTTGTAATAATTTTTTTTTTTTTTAATTATTAAAAAAATTCGTTAAGTAAAAATAACAGTAGTATAAGGTAAATAAAGTAATATGGACAAAAACAAATTTAAAAAACAAACATCTTCTTTTAAATATACGGGCTTGACAGATATATCATAATGCTAAAATAGTTACTTAACAAGTTAGGTTTATACAACATAGTTTAATGATTTAAATTTTATACTTTTTCCTCTACACACTAAACATTTATACACACTAGACATTTATACTCTAATACACTCCACAATTATACAACATAGTTTAATGATTGTTAAGTGTATATTTTTTTCACTACACATACTTTATAGTTTTTTGGTCACTAAATAAAAAAAATAAAGAAAAGAACAGATAAAATCTACATAAAAGTTATATAAAAAATATATGAACTATTATATATTGCTGTTAATAATAACAACAATATGTAACAGTTATATAACAGTATATCATAATAATATATTATTATGATATACTGTATTTAATTTGCTTTACTAAATTAAAGTTGTAATTATATTAAAACTATTTAAATACAAGGATTTTATGTTAAATTGTATAAAATTAGCAATTCCTTGATAATTTTAATTTATTTAGATTATAGTAAATATTCTTTTGAAATGTTGGTTTTTGTTTTTTATTTAAACTTTATTTTTTTTATAAATTAAAATCAATATATCACAAGAATTAATATTAAAATTGCATCAAATAATAATTTTTTCACCTAATAATTTTTAGCTTTAACAATAACGATGGAATTATAAAATGATTTCAATGCAAAAAATAAGTCGGAAGGTGAACCAACAGATTTTTTATGCTTCTAAAACTCATAAACTCCTCGAAACAACATTACAACTCATAACTGCACAGTCTTTAATATCATCACTAACTCCAGTTACACAGTTAGAAAGAAAAGGTTTTTGTAAGGAAATGGATAGTTTAAAAGTAATATGTGAAAGACTAAAGTTAGAATTTGGAGATGAGAACATATGTGCTCTATTTACAGTTTAGATACTGAAAAAAATTTGTTAGTAATGATGGATTATTTAAGTGAAGATGAAAAAATTATTGTTACAAGTTAGCCTTAAATGATCAAATATATTGTTGACTTTGATAAAATTAAACTAAAACCTACTTTAAAATGCTTGCTTATATATGTAACATCAATAAGTTAGCAATAAGCTATTTGGAAGTGGGTTGTTATTATGTATTTTAAACTAAAGTTTCCGATAAAAATGCAAGTCAGAACTGATATTTATAAATCATTAACACCTGTTTTCAAGACAAAGTTTCTTACACTAACATGCTTTGAAATCTTTATAGAATCTTATTAACAAGAGCAAAATGTTACAGTCAGTACAAGAAATATATTACAGCATATAGCCAAAAATAATACTAAAAAAATCACATGTTAAAAATTTATTGGCTGGCCACTTATAGCGATCGCCTCTTAAGGTCCACTTAGTAACTGTTGAGCAAAATCCCATCAACAGTGAAACTATAAAGGTCCACTGCAAATTTACTACCTAAAACTTATTAGAAAGTTTTAAGATTTTAAAGTAAATCATTATGGTTATATTTTTGGAATAGTTACAGATAGGCTAGTAAGGAAAAAACAAGAAGATTCTATCAAATAGCTAATCATCTATGTCTTTTTCATGGAATTCTTTTTAATTTTATCATTGAAGGCTTAGTGTATCAATTGTAGATGCGTATTTTGAACCATAAAAAAGTGTAAACAAATAACTTGCTATAATTGGATACTTTTAAAAAGATAAGTCTTTTATAAAACATTTTACAATTAAAGTTTTATGTTTTATTTCATTTGTTACATTTTTATATATCTTATGTCTACACTTTTAAGTCTTAAAACATTTTTATTTTAATCAGTTTATAAAAAATTTTATCAGTTAAAGAAAAATACATGAATTTTAAATAGAAAAAAATATATACAAACAGGAATAATAAAAGTAGTTTATAGGATGTTTTCTTTTTGTACTTTCAATTTTTATTTTTTGTTTTGGATTTAAAGTAGTTTATTTGTTTCATTTTATTTAAAATATTTTTTCATAATAAACTTAAAAAATAAAATTAACGGTTTTTTTTACAGGGTAAAATGTAATGTAACTTATAAATAAAACAGAATGTAACTTATAAATAAAACAGAAAATCATAAAACTTATTTAAAATAAATACTTTTGAATGATTAGCATTTGTAAATTAATTTGAATAAGTTTAAATTTGCAAAATTAGCTAAACAATCTTGCAAATTAGCTAAACAAATCTTGTTTTTACGGCGCTTTAACAGTTTGTTTTCCCTAATCCATAATGGTAGCTATAAAAATCTAATTTGTCACGTGACCTCCGACTCCAAGAATATACTTAAATTATTTCAGTTGAGTATTTTTATAAGTTTGCACGATTAAAGTTTGGCGTACAAGTATTTGTTTTTTTGTTTTAAGAATAATTAATAAAAGAGTTTGCATAATTAAGACTTTTATATTTAATTTAATTTTTTTTTTAATTTCCTAAAATTAAAAAAAAAAAAAAAAGATTTAATCGTTGAAAACGATTTTTCTCTATAGCTCTGTTTCTTTGTGATTTGTTTAAAAAGTTAAATATTTTTACAATAACATAAAAAGTTTATGAGTTAAATTCCTAGCGAACGCGTTCTAAACTACGTATCAAAAATACGCTTCAAAGCAGACAAAACTTTTTTATATTTTTATAAAACGCAAGTTGAAACGCTTTTAAAAATTTAAAAAATATTTAAAAACTTAAATTTTTCTTTGCTAGTCAAAACAAAATCGTTGTTTAAATAATTAACATGGGTTTGTGTTTATCAATGTTAATATTTTTTGTTTACTCTAGAAATTTTTAAAAATAAAAAAAATCATTATTATTTTTTATTCAATAACGATTAAAAACAATTATTCAAAAACAAATTTCAGAAATAGTTAATATATATATATATATATATTTTTTTACTAAATAATATTGAACTAAAATTAATAATAAAATAACAATTGAAAACATTACAAAATTTTCATAATAAATTTATATTTAAAACGTTTATAGTTTATATTTGAGTTAATTGTTAAATTGAATTAGTTTGCGGTTATTTATTTATTGCGGTAGTTAAAACACTTAACGTCTATAAAAAAAATAAAAATAATTTTATGACGTCAAAATTGCGTTAAGCTAATGCATTAAGCACTTTTTTATTTAAAACAAGGCCTGCATTTATAAGGTAGGTCAAACAAAATTTAATTCATATTAATTCATAAAATAAATTTAAAGAAAAGTAAGTGTAAGAACTCAAAAGCAGCAGAAAAAGCTAGACAAGATTTCAAAAAAAAAAAAAGGAAAGAAGGTTTTCTGGATTGTTAAACCAAATCCAAGACATTCTAAAGAAGACTAGCCCTAAAAAGGACTCAAAAATTTCATATCGTAAGGACTCAAAAATTTCATATATTAAAAAGACTCAAAAAAAAGAGATCAAAAGGCCAGTTGTAAAATGATTATTGGTAAAAAAGACATACTATATAACCAGAAAATTTAGAAGAGAGAACAGAGATTGAAACATCCACAGTTAGTACATAGTGTTGAACAATTTTCTCAGAGAGATGATATGGCTGCAGAGCTTCGGTTTTCCTCAGAAACTAGTGATTTCCTCAGGTCCAAGTAATGACACTCCACAGTTAGCTAAGAATTTTGTACAAGATATTGACATGACTTCACTTTCTAAAAATATTTCCTCCAGAGATTTGTTACACATGTGTACAGATTTAGTTGTAGTTTAGGCGGAAATTTTGAAGACTTTTTACCTTCTCAATCACCTATTTGGGTGAGTACAAAAGAAAACCATCCAGCAAAATGCTGTAGAGCACAAAAAGGGGGTTAAAAAAAAAGCTGCTGAGAAAGCACTTTTGCCCAAAAGTTCACTTTAATGAAAAAATTATGGAGGATTTCACTAATGGGAAAAAAGAAAAAAGAGAGGTTTAGTGTTTTAGTTAATATCGATGGAGATATTAAGCTTTTTGGAATTCCAGCTATGGAGCATGGAACTGGAGCTGCTCAGTATGAAGCTTTGGATAATGCGGAACAATGTACTGCTGAGAGATTCTATTCGTCGAGAATGCAATTCAAACAAGTAATTTTGGCTCAAATTTGTCTTTTCTTTTTAACTTTACATAATTTGAAGCTGTATTTATGTCAGAAGCATAAAATCCAGCATTTCTGGAAATATTGGTGTTGCTCAAATAAAAATACGTCATTATTCATCGTCATTATTCATCGTCAATAATAACTACTTTTTTCCTAAAAATTGAAACCAATCTACGGCACTTTGAACGAACAGCTGCTTTCTGAGTCGGTGTTCTTTTAGATGTTTTAGTTTTTTTAAGATAACGAATACTAGTTTTTTTGTGAATAATTTTGCATATGTACGGTTGCGATACATAGAATCGTTTTGCAAGACCACGCTGTGAAATACCATCCTTTTGATCATTCAAATTTTTAGACGCTTTATCTCTTTTGCAGACATCTTTTTTGCTTTGCGACCACTTCCAACCTTTTTTTCTGGTCCTATATTATTTTCATTTCTTTGAAGTATATTACAAATAGTAGATTTTAGGGGGATCTCGAAAAATAGGGTGAGGGGGGAGGGCGAGTAGCTATTGACATGCCCTTTCTATATAAACAATAATAATGCTGAGTTCTAATAATAATTTTCAAAATTTTGCCTAAATATGAGGAATAAACCAGCATCAGTTATACATAGTAGTGTATCATTTTATGTAAAAATCCATTTTTTTTGTTACTTTCTCCTCACGATGTGGAATAAATAAAGAGTTTAAAGTATACCATATAAAAGAAAGTTGGTTTTCATAGTTGATTTTAAAGTTCCCTGCCAGACCTCTGAAGTTTGATACGTTATTGTACACAAATTAGACTGGTCTAAAGTCACGTGACATAAAAAATTTTAGGCCTAAAATTATTTTTATATTGGTGGTCAACCATTCCAGGTAGGACCAACTTGATTTTCAAATATTCAAGTTGGTCAAGAATTAAAGTTAAACAAAAGAAGTTAAAAAGAACCAAACTTTAGTATTTATTTTTATTTGTATTTGTGCTTTCTTTTCCTCCTTATTAAACATTGTTTTCATCTCAAAATTTTGCATAAGTTTATAATTATATATTTAGCGTGTACTTTATCCATGGCAATTGTATCAGTTGTTTGGCAAAGAAAATATCATAACTTTTGGAGATCTTAATTGCAAAGTTATAATCTCAAGCGAGGTTTGTATTGATAATAAGTCAGTCCTTTAAATTTCATGATTTAATCCTTTACAGTCGTAAGGTCAGTTGCCAACCTATTAACAGTCTGAAGGTCATTTGTCAACCTATTTACAGTCCTAAGGTCAGTTGTCATCATATTTACTGTCCTATGGTCTGTTGTCAACCTATTTACCATCCTAAGGTCAGTTGTCAACCAATTTTTTGAGTATTATTCTGTTTAGCTTACAAGCAAAAAAATGTAACTAATTAATAAAAAAAAAAAATAAGTTAACTAATTATGCTGCAACTAATCTAAATAATGCTACTAACCTAAATAATGCTACATCTTAAGTTGGTAAAATTTAACTATTTAATCTATTTAACTATATTTATTCATTTGAATTTAATGCTGTTCAATTATAAATTACTAAATTTACTTAACCGCTCATCTAGGTTTTTACACCCTGCACACCTCTATAAATTACATTTATACATCTTTTTAGTCAATAAGCATTTTTTATATTTGTCTATATCATTTTTTTTCCTGTAGTTTGGAGTAACTTAATCATAAAAGCTTTTGTATTGGACCATATGTGGTTATACTTGGGCTAATCATGGCCTACTTAAATTACACGGCCTGATTTGTTGCATTTTCCGTAAAAAATTAAGAGGCCAGTTTTTTTACAGCTCAAGTATAAAAACTTAATTTTTGTTATGGTTAAGAGTCTTGTTTGCACCATAATTGTTTTATTTTTATTTTATTAAAATGATTTAATAATAGTTAGATTTTCTTTGAGTACTTACATTAATTTGTGCTAGATTTTCTGTTAACTGATTGCCTGCTTCAGTTTATTCCAACAACACAGAATACTGAAATAGGCTTTCAGATAACTATATCAACACATACCAACATGCTACTAAAAATAATCTTTCATGTTGCTAAGATTGCCTAAAACTCTCCATTGAACAAAAAAAAGGTTTGTAGTTTTGTATTTTTTATAATTGAAATAAAAAGAAGAAATACATTTTTGCTAGAAACGTTTATTTTGTTTTTGACAAAGTCTTTGTCTTTTTTGGAATTCTTTTACTTGATCTTTTTTAAATGAATATGTAATTTTTTTTTTTTTTTGCAAATTACTATAAAAAATATAATAATATTTTTTATAGTAATTTGCAATACAATACGAGATCTATATTTGATTCCTTATTTTTGGTGGTTTTTATTTGTAAAATTGAAACTGCTAGATCAAATCTTTAAAATTTGTTTCACAAATTTTTAATTAAAAAAGAATGACTGCAATGTTTTATTAGAATAAGAGAAATAACATAAAATACTAAAAAGATGACAAATAAAATTAGACAGAGGTTGAATTGAATATATAGGTTCTTCTCTTTATAAAGTAACGTTTATTGATCATAAGTTTAACATCAAAATCTTTTTGTTAATTTTTACCATTATTACTTGCTTTAGTATATATATTTGTGCTATCTTTAGAAAGCTGACAGTAGTATTTATGTAGACAACTAGACAATATCTTGCATAATATTTTTTAAGGATTATCAAAATTCTGGTAAATATTTTCTGTGAAAATCTGCCAAAATCTTTTTACTTATGCACATTTCTAAAAGACTCACAAAAAGTCTACTATCGGTCATTTAACTATACTTACTAAAACCTAGCTCCAAAGGATCTTTTTGTAAATTAACTATAAACAAATGTAAAGCCTTCTTCAAGGAAATCATGCATAAGAAATACAATTGCTTGTAGTGTTGTAATTAGAGCACAAAAAGTTTGTTTGGTTAATGACAGGTTTTTATCAAATTTTATTTTGATCAAATTTCAGTACAATTTGAAATTTCTCTATAAAGTGTGGGTTTGTTATCACCTTTCAAAGCAGCATTGCTGAGTTTGATTGGATGAATTAAGTTTCTGCTTTGAATTAAGTATGATAAATAACTTATAAAACAATGATAATTGTGCTGCGTTATTTCTTTCAGAAAAATAACTCTAAATTAGCAGTTGTACCTGCAGTTGTTTTGTCAAATATTGTCGATGTTGACAACTTGTTTGTTGTTACCAAAATATGTGATTTGATAATTAATTTTTCTTGCTTTTTCTTGCTTGTTTAATAAGTGATCTTTTAATAAACATTAAGAAATATATTCCCTGCAATGTAATCAGCAGTAACTTCAACAAGAAGAAAAAAACAAAAACCGAGTTTATCAAATAACAAGTATATTTTAAACACTACTTTTCTAAACTAAATGATAAATCGATAATTTTCCATCTCCAGTATATGCTTTATGAAACTATAAAAATGCATTAACATTTGTAGAATGGTTATCAGTATTAATAGTTCTTCAGGTAATAATAGTTCTATTCAGATTGGTGCATTGAGGTAATACACTCATCAATTTCTTTTTTCAAACATAAACCTGTTATGTAAACTTTAGGTTATGATTTCAAAACATAAGAATAAATTTTTGAAGCTATACAATCATAAAAACAAAAACAAATTCTTTATAAAGATTGTTTTCTCAATCTTCATCAAATTGTTTACCACTTTGGGCTGCTTTTTGGAAGTACACCTTACCCACAAGAAGCAAATAATTCTTAATACCAAATTTTTGTCAATGAATTTTCTAATATATTATAGTTTTTCAATTTGTATTTTTCACCTCTGCAAAACCATTTAAATAAAGAAATATGATAACCATTTATTTGGCAATAAAAAAAATTAGAATTTTATTAACAGCTATTGACTCCAAAACAGTTGGCATGCCTGATATTTCTTGGCTACTATAAATAAATAGCCTGATTTGTTACATTTTAATTGCTGTATGTTTGAGACATGCAGCATAATAAAGTATTTACAATGCAAAACCTTGTTTTGCAGTGTAAATATTTTAAAGAAAAGTTTATGTTTTGTACTTAATAATTGCAATTATAATAAATACAAAATTACAAACCTTTAAAATTATTTCCAATGGAGAGTTGTGGGTAGTTTTAGCAATATGTAAGATTATTTTTAGTAGCATGTTATTAACATGCTACTAAAAATAATCTTATTATTAACATTGTTAATATGTGTTGATATAGCTATCTGAAAGCCTATCAGTTAACAGAAAATCTAGCACAAAATAATGTAAGTACTCAAAGAAAATCTAACTAATATTAAACCATTTTAATAAAATTAAAAAAAAAAAACAATTATAGTGCAAAACAAGGCTCTTAACCATAACAAAAATTATGTTTTTATACTTAAGTCGTATAAAAACTGGCCTCTTAATTTTTTACGGAAAATGCAACAAATCAGGCCGTGTAATTTAAGTAGGCCATGGGCTAATTTGTATAGTATTAGACTATATGTGGCTATACTTAAGCAAAATAAACTCTCTGGTATGAGTTATTAAAACTGAAATAAATGCTGGAATATAGAAAAACCTTTTTTTACTTCAGCCAGAATTAGAGCATTTAATGTGAGGCATATTAGTTTTTGAGAAAAAAATATGATTTTTTTTTTCATGTTTGTTTGTATTTGGTAGTGCTAGAAAATATTTTTACACAGTTTTTCAATGCACCAATGTAAGTGTGTTGAATGTGTGTTCTAATTCTCTAAGTGTGCTTTCCAAGTTTCAACTTTTTATCACTTTAATATTTTTTTATCTTAGACTATATGCGATGATACTGAATCATTAACAGCTTCAGAACCAGACTCTGTTTCAATGATACCAGATGATGATATATCTTTAGATGCAATTTTCGATAGTACATTTGATGATGGTAAATCTATAGTTTTTCATTTATATATGATTAAAAAACATTCATTTATGTAGTGATATCTTGTCTTATTTCTTATTTATTTATATTTATGTTTGTTTTCCATATTTGCTTATAATTTTTGAATTGAGCTTATTAACCAGTCTTTTGCTATTTATTTAATAAACTTTAATGTTTTAATTAACAAGATGTTATTATGGATTATCAGAGTAAATAATTTTAAAAAGTGCAATCGTGCTCTTAAAATCATTGTTGCCCTATTAAAATAATTTTATAGAAGTCACCAGTTGGAGAACTCCAAAAAAGTAAATACTTTTATAAATTAAAATGTGTATTTTTTGGTCTTTTTATTCTTAAGAGAAACTTGTTTAGAATTATTTCAAAAAAGTTTTTTAAAATTTCATTAGTTTTATTTTATTACAGATAAAATACCGTTAATTATTTTTGTCTTAGTGTACAAAATCATAAGAGAAGGGTGGCAATTATAAGAAGGGTGGGATGGTTGATCCCTGTTTTTTTTTTTTTTTTTTATGTAGATTTTTACTGAATGTTTTAATTTTTTTCTTGGTTTCTTTACACAGTTTAATAATGTGGTTCATCTCCTTCTATAGGCTATTCATTAAAAAACTTTTTATGCAGAGCAATTAAACTAGTTTTTGTAGCCCGATTGCTGGTATCAGGTATCCCCATCTATATGGGGATACTTGATCCTCACAAGTGGGATACTTGATCCCCTGTAAATAAAGTAACCCACCCATTAAAATAGCATAAGTAATTAAATCAAACAATGCTACAAACTGGATACCTACTTTGATAAACAAAAAAATGAAATTTAGAAATAAATTAACCCAAAAAAATGTTTTTTTATAAAATGTTAGCATCAAATTTATATTTAAATTTTATAATTCCAGCAGTCCTGGTTGTTCTGTCTGTGGATAGGTGTGGCAGCATTTCTATGTCAGTTCGGTTCACTTCCCTGACGTCCTTTTTTGTTGGAAAAGTGAAACAGCCTCCCACTAGTGCTGTTCTCTCCAAGAATTTGATTTTCAGGATTTTTTGTTTAAGACACAACTTTTCCCACATAAAACTTGACCATTTTCTTGGTCGAAAACTTGACTAAAACATTGTTGTCAAGCTTAGGATCTGCATCAGCTTGAGTTGATGGTGAGAAAGGAAATCAAAGCTAATGTCCGGATGGCTGGAAATATCATCCTCTTCATTAGTTGAATTGAAAAGTTCTCTGTTTCTTAGTTTTTGAAGTTTTTTTCTCTTTTCTTATTTGCTGTTTTCTTAGCTATCTTTGCACAAGCAAGTTCTTCAGTTTCTACTTTTTCAAGGGTATCAGTTAAACTGGACAGGGCCCCCCTTTTCCCCATTATCGCACTGCTTTGGAATAGAGTATGATATCTTGTGGAGAAAAATGTTTCACAGATATTATATCTGATATTTGAGTGGAAGGTTTCATGGTACCAGACAACATTGGTTCCATAGAAACTGATGTACTAGTAATAGGTGTTGATTTCATTCTATAATGAATTGATTCCTGAATCAAAGATGAGTCTGGAGGGTCTGTGACAACGCCGGTCATAAATTTGTTGTCAGAAAATATGCTTGGATTTATTGGCCATATTCCAGATACTTTGAAGCCTCTAATGATGTTCATAGGAGTTATGGCTTGAGGGAATGCATCTCCAAGCAGTTCAACAATATCGTAAATTGTAACAGCTCTACCAGGGAATTTGATCATGAAATTGGAAGCTGCTTGGGAGTAGTAAGTCTTCAGTGAACCAAAAACAGTGTGGTCCTTCTTTTTCCTGATCAGTTGAAGAAACTTGCCACAACTTGTACCCTGGGAGAGATTATGTTTTTTCTGCATAAACTCTTTAATGTAATGACATTGATTCCTAATTGCCTAGAGAATGCTTTGTAGTTTCTACCATTTTTTACATTATTTACTTCACCGCTTCTTCAATTTTTTCTACATTGGGTGGAACTCTCTTATTGCTCCAATTTTAACTGAATACTTACGTTAAGTACTTGAGCAGCATCTGAAAGAAGATTTATCAATAAAATAAATACATTAAAAACCATTTTTTGAAAAACACTAAATCTCTTTGTGTTTCTCCAAAAAAATTCTTTACAAAATAAAAACTAAAGGAAGACTTTACTTTAAATAACTAAACTTTTTTAAAAATAGCTAAACTTTCTAAAAAGACTATTTCAAAAACTTTTAACTTAAAACAAATTTTTTCAAAATTCTTTTTTTAATTGAGAAGCTTGGTTTTTATCTTTGCTGTTTAAAATGCTACTAGAAATTTTTTTTTAAATAGTTTAAATTAATATATTTTATTTTTTCTTCATTGCCTTTTAAATTTTCAAAAAATATTTCTTTTATTTTTATACTGATTTTAATGTTATAGTTATGATAACAGAAACCAGTATTTTTTTTAATTATGAAATTAAAACAGCAATCGTCATTTAAAGTAATTAGTTTGGTTTAGCTGATTTTTCAGCTCTTTTTTGAAATTTTTAAATTTTCAAACTTTTTAATACCCTTGGTCAAGTTGTCAAAATATTAAATGATTGGTCATATAAAGTATTGCAATTGCATGCCTTCCAGACCAGGCTTAAAAGTGAGATACTTGATTCTGAGATTGAGTATCCCCCTTTTAAAGGATCAATTATCCTTATGTTGACCTTTTTTTGAAAAGTTCAAGTTTTAGGCTAAAGGAATTAGAATTTGAAAATCAATGTTAAGGTGTTAAGTGGGTAAAAGTACACATGTTTCACCTATTTGCATAGTATAATTATTGAAGTTGTTATAACTTACTTAAAACACCTAAATTATTACTAGGCACCAAATTTGCATGGGAATCAAGTATCCCACCGGGATCAACCATCCCACCATTTCCTTATGTACTGTTGCCTATGAATTTAAGAATCAAAAGCTTTTTCTGCTTTTTTTAATTACTGCAATATTATCAGGCGGTGGAACTGTGGCAAAGCTCTCATTAGTGAACTTGTGTTATGGCACTTGTGTTATCACACTATTTGTTTTAATAACACAAAATCAAAAATGTCTGTTCTCTGTGAAGTATTGGTGTTCTCTGTGAAGTGTTGGTGTTCTCTATGAAGTATCTGTGATCTCTGTGAAAGATCTGTGTTCTCTGTGAAGTATCTGTGTTCTCTGTGAAGTATCTGTGTTCTCTGTGAAGTATTGGTGTTCTTTGTGAAGTATTGGTGTTCTCTGTGAAGTATCTGTGTTCTCTGTGAAAGATCTGTTTTCTCTGTGAAGCATCTGTGTTCTCTGTGAAGTATCTGTGTTCTCTGTGAAGTATTTGTGTTCTCTGTGAAGTAACTGTGTTACATTGTTTTAGCTTAAAAGTTAAAGATTTAACAGTAGAGAAATTTCTCCCTCTGGCATTTAAGTACTGAGTTTATTATCAATAACAAGATTGACTTGTTCAGGTCTCGGATTAATGCAAAAAAATCTAATTGCTAAAAATTCTTTAGAATCCCCTCTTTCCCTTCCTGCTGCTTTGCGTGAAAAGGGGTTGCGTTAGTACAAAATTGTATCTTTTATACATTAGTGTGTAATTGCTATTTTTTTATATAATGTTCATCATATTTAAATAATATTTCTTAATATTCTGGTATCGTGTAATTAAAAATAGCTAAATTTACTGTTACAATTTGCAGCTTAAGTTACATTTTAAAGCTTAGGTTGCAGTTATAATGTAATGTACAAGTAACATATTTAATACTGTTATGATATTACTTTTAGTAATTGTTTTTACTTAATACAATACTTAAAAAAGTAAAAGTAAAAACACAAATATTACAATATTTAAACCACTTAAAATACTACACTATTTAAACCACTTAAAATATTACACTATTTAGACCACTTAAAATATTACACTATTTAAACCACTTAAAATATTACACTATTTAAACCACTTAAAATATTACACTATTTAAACCACTTAAAACAGTTATAAAAACTTTTTAATACCCCATTTATACTGGTAATAATGCACATTTTAGTTTTAAAGTGTATTAAATTGTTATAGAAAAATGCTATTTAAAAAAAAAAAAAAAAAAAAACTGCAAAGTTGTTTGTCAATATAAAAAGTTTGTTTTAATATAAAACAAATTTAATTGCTGTTTTATGCAGTTTAGTATAAAACAATTTTTACTACATTGTTTAATTGCTTTTTTATACAGTTTAATATAAAACAACTTTGCTACATTGTTTAATTGCTGTTTTATACAGTTTATAACATACTAATACTAAATTAATTTAGATACCACATTCTTTCTCATTTATTACATCTTTATCTAACATTAAAAATTCAAGTGTAATTAATTTTTTTTTATTATTAGCGTTATTATGTTAATGTTTTCATTAAATTTTTTTCTCAAATTGTTTTGCAATAAAAAAAAAAGTGAGAGAAAAATAAATGGTTAAATAAATCAAATTTTATTTCCATGATTCTAAATATGTACTTAATTTTTTTTTTTATTGAAAAAGAAAATATTTTGAAAAGATTTCTAATATAATTTATTTTTTTAAAATTAACATTTTTTATAATTTAGTTTTTTTTTTCACTCAATTTGCAATGTTTGCAGAATGTTTCTACTTTTAAACTATAAATAAAAAAATACAAATTGCTTTTACCGAAAAATACAAGTTTGCATTTACAAAAATTATTTTGCTGTTAAAAATGTGTTTGATTTAAATAAAACTTTTTTCCTCACTTGCACTGTTTTCTGAATCTAATATTTTTACTGTAGCTAGATCTATGTTTGTTTTTTAGGAATGATCCTTGCTATGCCACAGGGTATTAAAAATGCCCCTGCAGTTTCCATTCAGTTTATATATATGTATGTAAGCGAGCGTTAAAAGTTTGCAAAATTATTTTAAATTTTTTCAAAATTCTAAATTCAAGTTATTTAAATTAGAGAATTTAGAAGACTAAAGTTCACTTGTTCAAATAGAT